TTTTTGTATTTTATTTAGAGATTTTTGTAGTAAGTTTTGCGCCATTTTAATGCTTTTAGTGCGGATCCAGAGGGCTCCATCATCCGCGAATTTTGATGTGTTTACTTTGGGGGATAGTCCCTCGAATAGAACGTTTATCATTATATTGAAGAGTGTGGGGCTTAGGATGCTGCCCTAAATGCCATGTAAGCTATCACTTAAATTGTGGTGTCTAAGTGTCAGTGTAAACAAACCTTAAACCCTATTATCCAACTATAAAAATAATATCCTAAAATAACACCACTTGACTAGCTCTGTATTCAATGAGTCTAGACAGCGCCCTAATTATCTAGGACTTATCACCTAAAACAAAAGATGTCACGCACAACCTAGTTAGTGTCAAAGGATACACATCCAAATAGTTTTAAAACCTTACAACAACATTCACATAAATGGTAATCCCTAAAAATGGTTAACCAAACCTTGTTATGATTAGTCAACTTACCCCAACCAATGATATACCACATATACACGTAAGTTAGGATAAATATTGGTGCGGAACAAGTGTCTACAAACAGGTTAACCCAGTGGACCTCGAAGATAAAGAATGCATAATGAACATAGCTTAAAAAAATTCCCCTTCAGAACACCAAAAATAGGCAAACCCACAGTACCTTGGTGGTTCAAGAAAAATGCAAAAGCGCATTTAACAAAGCTTAACAAGACCACACATATCTAAATATAGCACATCAAAAACTGGAAAAAATTCTGCAAGGAAATAAACCATCACACAGATGCAAGAATAGTATGGCACAAAATACACGCAATCGGAGGCATTATACCAAAAAAAAAATCACCAAACATAAATAACTCAACAAACCATAAACAAAAAGCAAATAACCTAGCAAACCACTTCTCAGTCATTAGTAGCAATAGTAATTTCTCTGAGAAATTCCAAAACAATTAAAAAATGAAAATAAATTCACCAAATTGCACGAAGACAATAACCTGGAAATAAATCAACCATACGCAATAGAGGGACTACTCCATGTATTAAACAATCGCAAAAACGATCATCCCCTGGTCTGGACCAAACCTCATACCAAATAATTAAACAACTACCCACAAATATTCTGGAATCACTTCTTAAACTATACAATCTCATCTACCAAAACGTTCAGGTTCTGACTTCATGGAAAGTGGCCTTAGTCATCCCAATACCAAAGCCGGGCAGACGAGGCAAATTCCTACAGACCAATTTCCCTAACCTCACATTTATGTAAGTAGTATAGCTAATGATGGTTCTGGCTCACTTCCACTGGAGTCAGATTTATATACCTATACCACTACTTCAGATGGAATTTTTTATGTCAAAACGATGATGCGATTCAACAATCGTCATGAGATAAAGTTAAATTGGCTCTAGCTCACCACTACCTGGAGCCAATCAATGATACCACAGAGGGAATTTTTAGTACAAAAACGATGATGAGCCTAAACTAAATTGTAATGAAAATATTCTCTATTATTTTTACTCATACGTATACCATTATTTTTAACAAAGTGATATTCAACATTTTTACTAAGTTCTTCGTTCATTTTACTAGGAGACCAGGCTATATACTCTTCTTGGTAATTGGAAAGAAACAATTGATGACCGTATTTGGTTGGTTTGACATCACTGATATAATATATACCCTGTGGTAATTCTCTCCATTTGATAATTTTGTCCCTGCGCAAATAAATGCTTCGATAGCTTTTTCGAGTTCTTCCTTTGTTGGTTTGTAATTCTCCATTATTATATACTTATGTAAGCATTCGTTTAAATGAATGTATGATTTTTTATGCGGTATGATCTAATGATAGGAAGCAATCTATTTTTAATCTCAAACAAGTTCTTTGGTTTTGGCACGGAATAATTGACGCGCTTGCTGCCTCCCCTGTTCTATGAACTTTATTTTCTCGTCTTCGCTAATACCACTGGTCTTACGATAATTTGATCGAATCTCCTGCTTCATTGCGTTGTATTTGGTGAGTTCTGACAACTCTAAACGAAACTCCTCCTCGGATATCTTACAATCAGCCATTGCTGTTGAAATATGGTCCTCAATGCTGTTCAACTTTGCTTCGGCGAGTATCCGAATATTATCATGTTTTAATGCTTTCTTTTGCAACTTACGAGAAATAAATTTTATCGCTATTCCTGCCAGTCCAGAGACTACGGCGGCTATTTCCATGCCAAAGTACGATAGGCGTGGCGACTATAGTTGATAATAAACCAACACCGGCCACACCGAGTCCCATGCTAGCTGTTACAAGCACAGTGTCAACTCAGTCGAGAGCATTCACGGCTCTGTGATACTTTTTATACAATCCAAGTCTCAACTCCCTCTCCTTCTCTATTCGATGTTTTATGTCGCTTATTTGATGTAATCGAAATCCATCAACAGTATCCATCTTTTCAGATGCTTCATCGAGCGCCGGATATAAACCCATAACGTATATTATCATATCATATAATAGTCTTTAATTGATCTTGCTTCAATGTTTTGAGAGTATACATCAACCTTATTAAATGTATATTATACGGCATGAATATCTTAGTAAGAGAAATGCTGTCACTTTTAATAATTTGGACCCCCTCAAGGGTTGCAATTGGTGATGCTCCTACATAAATAATACTGCAACGTTGACGTTGATGTTTCTCGAGCCATTTAATCGATAGACCTGGTAATATTTCGAAGGCATCTACCGGTGCATCTCCAAACAAGACTTCAATAATAAGCGTAGAAAGATCAGGTATGGCATTCAAGTTCTGTTTTATGAAATTGAATTCAGTAACCAAATTTAAACTAACATTTGCCGGACGACTCAATAACATATGACCTGGGTTTTCTGGCAGGGGAGAGACTAACACACTTTTTCGTTTTGATGGGATATAAGCCCCGAGTACGATCCCACTATTTATTATCTTAGTTAAATTATGTGCCTTACCCATCATCACATACGGTTGGTTAATGGCGATATTAAGTAGCAACTCGATTTTTGCTTCGATCATAGTCCATTTATTATCATCGTTGCGAGTAAGATTGTATGAAGTGTTTTTATTGAGTCTACTAACGTTGACATCACTTAAATCTCCTAGATTAACTGGGAATGCAACTTCTTTCCGCTTGTATACATTAAAAGTGTGTAACGCGTATAACTTGCCATCGGTACCGGGTTTACCGAATCCTTCTGTGTCTCCGAGAGTGTCTCATTGTGGTGTGTTTTATGGAGAGCGAAAAAAGCGTGCAGGAAATACGGTTTTAATTAATTCGAGAGCCAAAAAATACTTTAAACATTATCACAAAAAGCATTCACATGCAGTGAAAAGTTCAGGACCCATGTTCCACAAAGTGATCTTAGCCTTCAGGTGATTGTAACTCCTATACTTTAACACCTGTGGTGATTGTAACTCCCATACTTTAACACCTGTGGTGATTGTAACTCCCATACTTTAACACCTGTGGTGATTGTAACTCCCATACTTTAACACCTGTGGTGATTGTAACTCCCATACTTTAACACCTGTGGTGATTGTAACTCCCATACTTTAACACCTAGGATGATTGTAACTCCCATACTTTAACACCTGTGGTGATTGTAACTCCCATACTTTAACACCTAGGATGATTGTAACTCCCATACTTTAACACCTAGGATGATTGTAACTCCCATACTTTAACACCTAGGATGATTGTAACTCCCATACTTTAACACCTGAGGTGGTTGTAACTCCCATACTTTAACACCTAGGATGATTGTAACTCCCATACTTTAACACCTGAGGTGGTTGTAACTCCCATACTTTAACACCTAAGGTGATGGTAACTCCTACTTCTTTTTTATAGGCTTATGTAAGTCGTAGCTCTAAGATCTCTTAGTGGTTCCTGAGAAAGAAAATTCTCAAAACAATTAAAGTTATTTTCAATTAAAATGATTTTATTTTTACTGGCCTGAAAAAATCTGAATACAATTGTGTTGCTACAAATCATAACCAGCTGATAACAATGTTTAAGATTTCTAGATTACTTAGAAGACTCTAAAAGACATGATGCTAGACATGCTTCTATAGTATGAGGCTCATCCCTTCTTCCAGATTGGTCCCTTCAGATGGATGGATGGACACATAACGGACAACATGACATACCATAACAAGACTGATTATAAAAGTTATGGAGTTATATTTTGGCTGGACTAACAAGTTTATGTATAGTCCAATCAAAATCGCGTAACGAAATCGACATCCGATTAGTGAACTGCTGTGCAGATTTTGGTCGATTGCAAGATTTGTAGAGCATGTGTACCTTCAACTGGGCATTAACAGATATTATTCAAATCGGTTCAATTTTTAATTAAGGTGCTCATGTGATCTGATGCACTTCACGAGGTAAGACCCGTTTTATTCCAATATAGATCATGATTATCAATCAGACTGGATGACGCTGCCATTATATTTGAAGCAAAAGCAAATGATATGAGAGGTGGAATCTGATTGGTCAATAGGAAGGAGATACAAGGGATGTAACTGTAATAGCCACTGTTGGGGCTATGATTGAGACCAAAAATTCCAGCCTAGATCGGCAAGGATGGAAACTGGAATTTTACAGTCAGTTCACTCCCTTACCTTGGGAAGAAGACAATGGATGGATGGACAGATAGACCAGATGATGAATATATCCCCCCAACATTATATGCCAGGGGAAAAAAAGCAAACATGCACCTCTCTTATAACTATTGGGTGTTTGGTTGAAGTTCATTATGAACATGGAATGAACTATCTGTGACTGTTGATATTTATGTGCCAAAGCCTTCATTGTGACAAACTGAACTATGCAGGATCATACTAAACACGAACAGTATGTAAGTTTAAACAGTCAGGTGACGCTTGGACTCTTCAACAAAAGCACTGCATTTCTGACCTGACAGACACAAGGAGCTGTATCTGAAAACATGTCTGAAACGTACTGTGCACCTACCTCAGATGCTGGTTTAATCATCTTCTTGCCACTTATGTACTTAATGCCCTTCCCATCTGTGTTGTAGAAAATCTTGAAGAAAATCATAGGAGGAAATTCACTTCCTCCAAACCTGAAAAGGTATATATATACATTTATATTACTATGTAGCAGACGACCCCATATTTAGGTGTTTGTAACACTACCTATAATCTAACTAACAATTAGCCGAGTAACAGGGAAATAAAGGATTATAAAAGCTGGTTTACAATTATTTCTAAATTGACAGTAGGCACACAAACAAGTAACATCAAGAGGGATGGGGTGAGTTGGCATGGGGTTTAACATCGTGCCCAAGATTATTGCCCTTATATAGCGATGTGTGTGTGTGTGAGTTTGTGTGTGTGTGTGTGAGTTTGTGTGCGTGTTTGTGTGTGTGTGTGTGTGTGAGAGTATGTGTGCATGTTTGTGCGTGTGTGTGCGTGTGTGTGTGTGTGTGTGTGTGTGTGTGTGTGTGTGTGTGTGTGTGTGTGTGTGAGAGTTTGTGTGCATGTTTGTGTGCGTGTGTGTGTGAGTTTGTGTGCATGTTTGTGTTTGTGTGCATCTGACAAATTCACAATGATCTGAAAATGCTCATTTCCTGATGATTGGAATAGTGTTGGTGTAAATGTAATCGCACTCATGTAGCCACAGGGCCACTGAAATGTCAAACGGCAGGACCACCCATTGGTTGTGGACCCCATTGAACTGGAACCTGGGAAACCTGCGGTTGTTGGGATGGAGAGGTACATGCAGGTAAGCATCCTGCAGGTCCAGACTGATCAGGAAATTGAGCGCATTGATCCTGGTCCTGAGCAGTCTCAAGTAGCATTTGTTGAACACGGTAAGATTGTGGATCATCCGCATCTTGCCTGAGTCCTTCTTGCGTACCAGGAAGATGGGAGAGTAGATGCCCGGTGTTAACGCTTAAACTGTACAGTGATCCCTCACTATTGTGCCCTTCGATAAAGCTCTATGTCGGTTACAGCTAGCGGTAATGCATGGCTCCCAAAATTTATGTACATTTTTAATACTCAAAGTTTTACACAGACATGAATGTATTGTTGTTCATACTGGCGGTCATTCCCTTTTGATTCGGATCAATTAACCGTACCAAACCGATTAATCTGGCTTCACATACGTTACTGTATATAAAGTGAATTTATCAGATCAAGTCCATTCCAACTTCAACATGAGGAAAGTGTACACAGCGCAAGAAAAGTTAGACGTAGTAAAGAAAGTAAAGTTAGAGATGGTGCTTCACAGGCCAGTGTGAGCCATGAGTCAGGAGTTCTTGCGGGGACCATCAAGGGTTGGATAAAGAACGAGGAAAACTTCAGTTCATCACCACCAAATGCCACAACAGCAAATGACTGCAGACAAAAGGTTCATGGAGCTGACAACAGTACTCTTGACAAGGCCTTGTTTGAGTGGTTCACTCAGTCAAGACATAAGGGCATTCCCCTTTCCGGTGAAATTCCCAAGGTCCAGGCCCAGAATCTGTCAAGACAGATAAACGGCAACTCCGAAACCTTCAAGGCAAGTGATGGCTGGTTATTGAGATTTCAGTGACGTCACAGGTTCAAATCCATCACTGTCAGCAGTGAGACTAAATCGGCAGATGTGGAATCAACTGCAGCATATCCAACCATACTTGGAGACATCATTGCCGCGGAAGACCTGCACGATGAGCAGATGCTGATGAGACGGGCCCGTACTATGGCATGCTCCTTGACAAGAATCTTATTGAGAAAAATGACCCCAAGCAGAGGACAGGTTTCAAGAAGGCCAAACAACGTGTTACAGTGCTCCTTGCTTGTAACCGGACCGGTAATCACAAGTTGAAGCCACTTGTGATAGGTACATCAAAGAACCCCCATGCCCTCCACCACGTTAACCAGTCTACTTTGCCAGTGAACTATACCAGTTTGAAGAATGCCTGGATGACTGACTACATTTTTAAAGACTGTTTTATTAAGAACTTCATCCCCACTGTAAGAGACTACCTCCGACAACATAAGCTAGAAGAAAAGGCAATCCTGTTGTTAGACAACTGCCCAGCCCATCAACCCGCCTCAATGTTGACATCACATGACGGCAAGATCAAGGCCATTCTCCTGCCGAAAACGACATCAATCATACAACCCCTAGATCAAGGAATCAATAACGCTTTCAAATCCCACAGCAAGAGATAACTGATCAACAACTTACTAGATTCTGAAATGTCACTGACCAAATACATAAAGTCCGTGACAATGAAAGATGTCATATTCACAACTCAATAGCCCTGGAAAAAAATTATAACGACGACAATAGAAAATTGCGGGGATATGCATTTGACGACTTCGATGGATTCACTGAAACTGTTATCACTGTCCCGAGAGTATGCCAGAGAAAATGCCCTCGACATCAATCCGACTTTGGGAGGTTGTCATCACATGTCACCCAATGTCAGAAAATAAATCTGATGATCAGGTGATCGAAGACGCTCAGTCAAGTGATGGTGAAGATGACGAAGAAGATGTTGACGAAGTTGCACAGCCTAAGAAGCGGTAAAGAGTTTGGAACTTTTTGTTGAGTATATTAAACAAAACCCTAAAAGATCGTTCAATTCCACAATGCTGTTCCAAGCAATGCTCCTCTTGGACATGATGAAGAAGGACGTTCTCAAATCAAAGAAACAACGCATAACTGGTTATTTCAAATGAGTAATTCTCCATTCAATTAATTCAAGCTAATTACAATCGTCATCTGACAATAGACGATTTAATAATCAAACAGTAATGCATGTACATGTACATCTTATTTTGTTATCCTTTCTGATAATGTTGCCGCCTTCTTTTGTATGAATGTGTATCTATTTTTGTATGAATGTGTATGAATACGTACATATAAGGCAATAAAATCTAGTGCTGGTCAAAACTCTCATTTGTTTCTTAAAATGTATCACGCCAAGGTCGGCGTTTTCCGTATGTTTAGCGAATAACAAGACCAATCAATGCCACTGAAACACTCTGTACTTGTGTAATGGAATGTGATTGGCTCTTTACTCATTGCGTCTGTTGCTATAATTATTGATCAATATTTTCATGAAAGTAGATTACTTTCACATTGAATGTGACAGTTAAAGCTTATAAATAATAACAAACGGAGAAAAAAAAAAGGTTATATATTTATTTTTACACTATGAACCATAAACAACTCCTATATCTTTTTTCATTGCGATGTGCGAGGCGAGGCGTAGATCATGAGGTTGGCTGAGCGCACTATTGTGTTGTTCATCCCCCTACGACCCCGCCTCGGTTAAATGGCTGATCGTCTATAATGCTCATCAATTATTTGGACCCCATAGATAGCGTTGTAGCGAGGGATCACTGTATCTATGTTGGACCCCAGTGGCTTATGTTGCTTCCTGGGGTAGAGCCAAGGTGGTAGAGCCGTGGTCAGCGAGGGTGTACAGCCAGGTAGCGCAGTATATATAGTACGAATGGGTCTGCCAAACCAAATGGGTCTGCCAGAAGAGGCCCAGCCTCACACCTACAGGGGTGTCGACGATTGGGATGACAAGGGGTAGGAGCTCCCAGTCGTGAGTGTCCGAGAATTCATTGCTTTCCCTTCTCATCCACACTCCTGAAGGGAGTGATAAAAGCTCTGCCTCTCCCTCGTTCTCTGCTACGGAATAAGTGCTGTGTCTCAGATGATAATTTCGTGATTTGGTGGATCGCTCCAAAGCCTTGAGCGCTGTCTCGTCTTGTGCACAACTTGAGACCTTGGTGTGGGTTTTGGTGACTTGATCATTGAATAATGACAAGGCCGACCACAGTTGACGAAGGAGCCAGCGTTTGAATTTGCAATCCCAATTAGACAAAGCCAAATAGCATTTGGGCAGATAGCTGTGATCTCCGCAAGGGCTGCCCTGAGGTGATTCCTCATATGGTCTATTTGTCTCTGCTGAGAGTCTAATACTGTCTGTAAGATGCTCAGCATTGGTCTCAGCAAGATCCTGTTCCATAGCCCGGGATAAGGAGCAGAGCCGACAAAGGTTTAAGTGAGAGCCTAACCTCAGTCTTGATGAAGGTGAACCGATTATCTGGAATTTTAAAAGTAGTAGGCATGGACGACTCGGTCATCCTCAGGAGATCCTTCTCCAAGTTGTGCACCTGGTCAGTACTTTCAATGGTGTGGATAGGAAAGTCATCCTTCATAAACCTTGGTGCCCTGAATGCTGGGAAGATGGTTAATCTAAGAGAAATCCAGGGATCTGGCAATATTGATGTAGATTGTGACCAAAAGGTGCAGTCAAATGGTCCACAATTCATTCTGGCATCTGGGCCAAGCTCGGTTGTCAACGCAGGTGAAGATGGTAATCCTGAAGATGCAGTCATAACCAACATGCAGCAATGTTGAGGCACTGATTTGGCGCCTGCCTGGTAGAAGCGCCGTAAGACGTGGGAAGGCATAGCTGGAAATGTCAATAGAGCAGACAGCAGCTACTGAAAGGTAGAGGTGTCAAACTAAGAACTGTGCCTGGAGTTTTCATGGTGGTGGCAGCAGAAAAGGAATGTTGATCGTCCCCGGAATGCTGGGTAAAGCCCAACCCAAAGTAGAGGGCTGATTCGTGATGACAGGGGACAGGTGGGGGGATGAATCCTGCAAGACAGACATCCTTCTAATGTGCCGAAGGGACTGCTCAGCAATACGCTAATGTGATAGCTCTCTATATTTCAGAAAGCTTGACGGGGAGACAGGAGCAAAGATTACATTTTAAATCTGGTGTACAAATTTGAGTACAATCCAGACATCGTAGGTGAGGATCTTTAGCAGACTTTTTACCATGGCAAATAATGCAACACGCAAGCATAAATTACACATGAAAAGGTGGACGTATTTGAAAATGACTTGCCAAAACCGAGAAACAAACCAAAGTTTTAACTAAAGGTAATAATAGTACGAGGGCCATTCAATATATAACCAGCCTAACCTATTTGCTACTGCTCTTCACTTCTTCTTTTTCCACATAACCACCATTGAGGTCTATGCACTTTGTCCAGCGATGTGTGAGAGCTAAAAGCCCGTTGTGATAGAAACCATGGG